CATCTTCCCTTCTCTGGTAGAAAGACCCAGCTCTGAATCTTTTTGTTCCCAGAGCTTTGCCTAGTGTCAGACCCCTTAATAGCTGACCAGCAAATGTTTTTCAAACAAAGAGCTGAATTAATGTGCCTTCTGCTTAATTCCAGGTTGCACCAAGCAGTGAAAAGATACAGTAAAATGTCAACAAAGGACATAATAACCAGCTCTGTGCCACTGCTATGGAAAACATGTCAAAATAAAGGTGTAAACCAAACTTAAGTGCATGCATTAGTTTGTGCCTGGGATTCCACCGATTTCTACCTGACATCTTTATTTGCCTGAACTTTCTCTGGGAGCCCAGAATGTGCTATAACATGCCAGCCTTGTTATAACATTTCATCCTTTTTCCCGGAGGCCAAGTACCTACAATAATTGCGTAGGAGGCAAGAGCTGTCTTTAAGAGAGAATTTCACCCATAAATAAAAAGCAAAGAGGAAGGGATGACCCAGGTGGACATGCTGAGGTGACACAGATCATTTCAGTTCCACCTCAAAGAACAGCAGGTGCCTGGGCTCACAAGCCCCCTATTCTGTCCTCTCTCTTCCTTCTGTAGACCCAGGGGGAGTGAGAGGCTGAGCCCTGGGGTAGGACTTCACACCACTTATACTTTTAAGCACCTGTCATCTTACGTGGGAGATTTTTTAAAAAATTACATTTGAGATTGAGAATAAAGGTTTTTCTACCTTTTTTTCCCCCTGAAATATTAGGGACAGACCTCTTCAAAATGGAATTTCATAGTCTAGTCTCTGTGTGCGTCACCCCGTGTGGCACTATGCACAGGTCTGCTCCAGCGTAGGAGCCTGGAGTTCAGGATACACTAACAATCCTCGAGATGGCAGGCACTGGGATGGCTCCGTGTCTGTCAGCAGTTATCTTGTCACCAGAGAACACAGCCCACTCATTCCGAGATGTGGTTCCTCAAAGATTTTTTTTTTCCATGTAACAAATTATCCTGGAGGGATATCAAAGCCCCATTGTTTTTTATTTAGAAGTCATAAGTTAAGACCTCAGAGACATGTTAGTGACAGTATATGAGAATTCATGTTTCCACCAGCAGTTTTTTTTTTGTGCTTTTATTGCAGTGAGAAAATCGCTTTGTTCCCCAGTTTGGAGCCAAGGGAAGAATCAAGCCATTGTAGAGATTGCTTAAAATTCCACTGTGCCTGCACCATTTGCAAAAAAAAAAAAAAAATGCTAAGAATTTGCAGCTGTTGCTCGAAAGGTTTCTAACTGGGACTGGGGCCGGGTGTGGGGAGGGGTTGCTGTTTAACACACAGCTGTTGTTAATTTGAGTTGAAGATTTTTTTTAATTGCCTTTGTATCCAGATTTATTAAATAACATTTTAGAGGAGCAAAAACTATAATAGTCATATTAGTAGGAGGCTGCAGGAAGAAAATAATTGGAACACAACATTTTTGCCTTGTAAGCCAAGTCTGAAAATATCTTTTCCACATGACCAGCTAGCTACCAGCCTTCCCAGGAAAAGAGTTTCCAGGTAAATCCGACCCACAGAAGCCCCACGGCGGCGGCGTCTGCAGGAGCTCAGCTGCTTGCTCCTCTTAGTCATTTATCTGGAAGCACTCCTTCCCCTGAGTGGCCTTCTCTTGTTCCTACACTCTGTGTTCCTATTATATCAGGAGGCAGGAGTCTAGTGCTTGGAGCAAACGTAGCATTAGCTGGGAATTGGCTGCTCCTTTAAGTGGTCTGCATTATTTTTGCAAGGTTCTGTAATTGCTGTTTTCCTATTGCATGTAGTCCATCCAGGACAATATACTCTGAGGGGCCTAAACCCTCCCCACTTGGCAGCTGTATGGACGAGCAGAAGATACAAAACATGGACCTTTCTACTAATGAAAGACAAATCCTAATGTCCTTTAATAGAGAAGTTTGAACTAACCCAAGAAAAGAGTTTTTTATAGGATGAGAGATAAACCAGTCAATTTGCAGAATAAGTCATAAATCCTAACATGCTAAAATTTCAGTTGTGATTTTGCATTTTATTAATGTTAAATATTCCCCTTAAATAGGAAAAAAAAACCCTGCAATTCATCAGACATTTATGAAGCACCTGCCATGTGCAAAGTGCTGAACTGGGTCCTGAAGGTGCCCAGAGAAGTCTCTGGGACAGAGGGTCTGGTGAGGGACCCAGGCACCTTGGAAAACAGGCAGAAGCACTAGATGCCATTGGCATCCTGCCCAACAGAGCTGAGGGTGGGAGATGGTTCCTGAAAGAGGGGAAATACCCAAGCTGGACCTAAGGATGAGAAGAGTCTGCAAAGTTAGAAAAAAAGCATGAATGGGGAAAGGAGATGCAGTGTGTAGCTGAACACACATGCCACGGGTATATATGTGGACTACAGAGTGGAATATTATTTAGCCTAAAGAAACAGAGAAATCCTACCACTTGGCAACAGACAACATGGGTGAGCTTAAAGGACATATGCTAAGTGAAAGGAGCCAGGCACAGAGAGACAAATACTGAATGATTACATTTATATGTGAAACCTAAAAAAGTCAAATGCACAGAAATAGAGAACAGAATGATGGTTGCTGGGGGCTGAGGGTGGGGGAAGTGGAGAGAGATTGATCCAAAGGGTGATCAACTTTCAGTTATAAGGAAAATGAGTTGTAGAGACCCAATGTACAGCAAAGTAACTATAGTTAACAACAGGGTATTGTATACTTGAAACTAGCCAAGAAAATAGAGGTTACGTGTCTTCACTTGAAAAAAGAAATGGTAGCTATGGAGGCGATAGAGGCGTTAATAACATCACTGCGGTTATTTCACTATTCAGCATGTTTCAGATCATCACACTGCATAGCTTAATTTATACAGTTTTGCCAATTTAACCTTAATTAAGCTTTGGAATAAAAAAATAGGAAGAAGGGGGGCATTTCAAGCCCAGGACCAGGGAGAACCAGTTTGGTGACTGGGAAAGGTATGTCTTCTTAGAGGAATTGTGGTTAGACATGATGATGTTGGGCGAGGCAAGAAATAGGGAAAGATTTAAGATTTCAAGAAATGAAAGAGATTATTATCCTAATTTGATCACTACACATTGTATATATGTATCAAATTATCACACTCTATCCCATAAAGGTGTACAAATATTATATCTCAGTTTTAAAAAGAAATGGATTAAGGAACAGATGAGAAGTCGAGTGGGACTTGATTCTGGAGAGTGGAAGGAAGTGCTCCTACAAATAGCTTGGATTTTATTGTGTGGGGCATGGGGAGCTACTGAGTGCGATGGAGCTGGAGAATGACATTCTTTTCAGGTAAATCATCCTAGGAGCAGGTCTGTTAGACCCCAGAGCCTAAACCATTCCCACATGCAGAGGTGGAACAATTGCCATTTGCCAATCAGAGAGCATGAGGACCCAAACTGTGACTGGTGAATCTGGCCACAGAGAGGAAGAGAGAAGGGAACACCTCTGAGGCTTACTAGCTATGCAACCCAGAGCAATGGAAGTACCTTCTTTGTGCCTTCACTTTCCATCTGGGCATAATAACAGTGTCTGCCTCTGAAGCCTATTTTAAATTAATGCATATAAAGTGCTTGGAACAGTGACTGGTACAGTAAGCATTTGGCAAAGGTTAGCTATGATTATTTTCGGATGTAAAATTCCACAATTTAGCAACTAATAGCACTTGGCAGGGCAGGAAAAGGAGTCAAATATCTAGTGTTCATCAAAGAAATATGGAAGGCACTCAGAATTAATAATAATAGCCGGGTGCAGCAGCACTTGCCTGTAATCCCAGTGGCTCAGGAGGCTGAAGCAGGAGGATCATGAATTCAAAGCCAGCTTCAGCAAAAGCAAGGCCCTAAGCAACTCAGTGAGACCCTGTCTCTAAATAAAATACAAAGGAGGGCTGGGGGGGACTGGGGTTGTGGCTCAGTAGTAGAGTGCTCGGCTAGCATGCACGAGGTACTGAGTTCAATCCTCAGCACCACATAAATGTAAAATAAAGATATTGTGTCCACCTAGAGCTAAAAAATGAACATTTTTAAAAATAAATTAATTAATTTAATAAAGGTATTGTGTCCAACTACGACTAAAATAAATAAATATGTTTTTAAAAAATAATAGGGCTGGGGATGTGGCTCAGTGGTCAAGTGCCCCTGAGTTCAATCCCCTGTACAAAAAAAAAAAACAAAAAAAGAAATATATATATATAAAAAGTAGAGAAAAATTATGTTGAGGAATACCTATAGTCTTCAAAATTGTCAAGGAGTCCCAGAGGAACTGTTCCTTACTAAAGGAGACCAGAAGGACATGACAGCAGAAGACAATGTGTGGCTCTGAACTCAGTCTGTTGGCTTCAAGGGACATTGAGTCCGTAGGACAATTTGAAACTCAAACAAGGTCTGAAGTTATGTGAGAAGATACGCTTGTTCCTTGCTTTTAGGAAATGACACTCAAACGTACCTGTCGGATCCACAACAATGTTTCAGAATGTTGTTTGTTCCTCAATTATGAATCTGTAAAGTTATGATTGTTTGCAAATAAAAATAATTTATTCTCAAAATTAACAGCTGGTATTCCCTAAGTACTCACTAAGTATCAGGTCTGTGGCCAGTACTTTGCACCTGAGCAGGTTCAATTCCCCAGGAAACCTCTCATACTCCCGTCTATACCAGTAGAGTCCTGGTATAGGACTCGGTGCCCCTGCAGCAGCTGAAGCCTCTGCCTCACACACTTGCAACTGCTGTAGCCACTGCTTGTGGCTTGTCACTAGTACCTGCCCCCTCTACAGACCAGGAGCTCTTTAAGACTGAGGACTGTACTCTACTCTCCATTTGTATCCATGGCACCCAGCATAGCTCCTCTCATCCCAAGTCCTCAGCACAGACTTGGTGAGTGAAACGCTGAGGCTGGCTCACCCTGGTGGCCACGGACACAAGGGAGGCACCAGGCTTGGGATGCATATCTGACCTATAACTTTTTTTTTTTTTTCAAGGTGGCCCTGGCTCTGGCAAAGGCACACAGTGTGAAAAACTGGTGGAAAAATACGGATTCACACACCTCTCAACTGGTGAGCTCCTGCGTAAAGAACTGGCATCAACCTCTGAAAGGAGCAAATTGATCAGAGACATCATGGAACGTGGCGACCTGGTGCCCTCGGTAAGCAACGTCAGGAAACTTCTGCCTTCCTTTGTGGCAGAGGTGCTGGGACCTGTTGTGAAAAGTCTGAGCTGCCACAACAAAGAAACCCAGAGGGACAGACAGTAGCTGTTTTCTCTCTCGAACAATCCAGAGGCAGGCAGGTCTATGCAGACAATCCACTTGCCTCTCTGTGTTTGCTTCACCAGCCCCCACATTGTTACCCTGCCTCATACTTTCCCCCAAATCCAGGCCCCACTTAAGAGTTCAAAATCTTCACAACAGCGGTAAATGTGGTTGTGCTCAGCGTAGAATTAAAAACCTCCCCCCAAACAGAAAATAACCTTTTGGTCTAGTTCTAGCGAGTGTCATAGCATTATCTTAACATTTGGTGTCTTCCTTGTGGAATTTAAGTAAAAATGTCCCTTCTTTCTATCTTTTTTTTTTCTTTTTGAATCACTATTCATCTCTGAGAAGCCAGATGCCATGGCAAAAAAAAGAAAAAAAAAAATCCACTCTTGCATACTATGTTCCTTGCTGGACTCTGTACTTTGGGCTTGTACAATGCAGTCCCTATTGTATAAAGTTTGCCATGTCCTCCTCCATCAGCTGCAACCACTCACTCTTTCCCCACCATCGATTCTTTTCTACAGAAACCAAAGTGATTTTTTAAAAAAACGTTTATCAAATTGGCAGTTCCTTTCCTCAGAATCTTCAAACCCAGGGTCCTGCCCATAGCTCTGGCCTCCAGCTGTGCTCCACTGTTATGGCCCACCCCCACCTTACCTGCTGCCACCAGGCCCTGGCCTCCAAGTTGTTCCGCCCATAGCTCAGGCTGTTCTTGCCTCAGGGTCTTTGCACAGGTCTTCCCTCAGCCCCAAGGGCTCCTCCTTTATATATTCACCTAGTTTGCTCTTTTAATTCACCCAGATCTCTGCAAATGTCACACATGATCAAAGAGGCCTTCCCTCACCATCCCATCTAAAATAGCATCTCCGGCTTGCTATTCTCTTTGCCCTACCTTAATTTGTGCCTGGAAGTTATCTTTAGCTCACTATCCTCTATTTATTGTCTGTCTTCCCCATTAGACTATAAACTTCATGAGGAGTTAGTTATTCATAATTATCTGGGGAGCATTCGGACTACACTTAGATGCCTACATTCCCCATGCCCTGCCAAAGGCCAGGCAGCAGGGAATGCGTCTGCCTCCTCAGGAGGCAGCTGAGTGAGGTTTTTCCTGTACTTTTCCCCCAGATTCCTCCCTTATGGCCCATAAGCACTAATTAGATACAGATTTTGAATGGAGAAAATGATATCGCTGGAAAATGCTAGTCACATCTACGGAAAGTCTTTTCAAGTTGGTGCATGTCAAGTTGTATAAAATATGTACTGGAAAAAATGAACAGTGAGCCAGGTGTGGCAGCGCATGCCTGTAATCCCAGCGGCTTGGGAGGTTGAGGCAGGAGGATCGCGAGTTCAAAGCCAGCCTCAACAAAAAGCGAGGCGCTAAACAACTCAGTGAGACCCTGTCTCTAAATAAAATACAAAAAATAGGGCTGGGGATGTGGCTCAGTGGTCGAGTGCCCCTGAGTCCAATCCCCTGTACCTCCCCCCAAAGAAATTAACAGTGAAATATATTTTATTCCATATCTGGTCTAGTTTTAAATTACCATGATGCCTAATGTGTAGAGTGCTGCCATTTGAAGTAGGGCTACTATAGTTCATGTAATCTAAGATATCATTGTTTTAAGACCCCCTAGTTGAATATAAAAAGTAAGAATGCACTGATAAGAAAAAGAAGGGGGAAAAAAAGCTAACAATTACGCTATGACCCAGCACACTGATTTTAAGATACCTACCCATTTAATAGACAATTAAAATATGTGCAGGGGGAGTGAGACTAGGAATTCATAAAATATGGGATGTTGCTGTCTGCAGTTGATCTTGTCTGAACCTTCCTCCCTCCTTCAGTGGGATGACTGAAGGAGACTCTGGGAATTCTAAGGCTGTTCATCTCGGGTCTGACCACTCTCCCCTTGCTCCAGGGCATCGTTCTGGAACTCCTAAAGGAGGCTATGGTGGCCAGCCTCAGCAACACCAAGGGCTTCTTGATTGACGGCTACCCTCGGGAAGTGAAGCAAGGGCAAGAGTTCGGACGCAGGGTGAGCTGCGGTGATGGGGATCATTCTAGAAGAAAAAACAGGGGACATCATCATTAAGGTTGGGGGGTAAATTCAAAGTCTGTTCCTTTCCCAATTACGTGAATCAAACTTTCCATTATGAATGGCAAAAACTCAACACAAACTGGCCCAAAAAAAAAGAAAGTGGTGGGAGGGGGTAGGGAGGGGGGGTCTACTGACTTAAATAACTAAAATGCCCAGTAGCCGTTCAGACTTGGCTGGATCTGGGTATTCAGATTTCAACGGTCTTTCTCTCTCTCTTGGATTTTTTTCCCATTTGTGTTGGCCTCCTTTTCTTCCTGTTCTAGTCTCATATCCTACCCTCTAAGCGACTTCACACAAAAGGGTTTCTGTTTCCCAGAGGTTCCAGCAAAAGTTGTTATCCTGGATTTAGATCGATCCGAGAGCCGTTTACTGTGGCCGTGGGAAAGGTGAGGGAAGGCACTGACCCATCCTGGAGGACCACAGCCAGGAGGGGATGGGACAGCACACCCGAGCCACATAGACTGAGCCAAAGAAAAGCAAATTACCACAGGAAAAGTAGTGGTACCCTTACACAAGAAGACAGGGGAATGGATGCCAGTCAGGCAGAATCAAAAATACACACAGCTCCATCTCCCATCATCCAAGCTCCCCTACTCCTATCCTCTCCTCCTAAAGATGGTGGGTCAGGGACACTCCCATAGGAATGGCAAATACCACCCCAGCTGCCAGGCATTGGACCGACTCTGAGCTGGGTCCTGTGCTACACAGTATATGCTTTGCTGGTAACTTTACAAAGTCCAGGCAAGAAGGGTCCAATTGTCCTAGTTAGAACCTACAAGAAATTCATATTTAAATTTATTTATTTACTTATTTACTACTGGGGATTGAACCCAGGGGCACTTTGCCACTGAACTACATCCCAGCCCTTTTTATTTATTTTTTTTTATTTTGAGTCAGAGTCTCACTAAGTTGCTGAAGGTGGCCACAAACTTTTAAGCCTCCTGCCTTAGTGCTGGGATTACAGGCTTGTGCCAGCAAAATCCATCCCTACATAATTATCTCCTTAGAAGAGTTTTACAATATTTTCAAATGCATTCTTTCATTTGATGATTTTTAGAAATAACCTTTTTAGATAGATCGGGTTATTGTCCTATTATTAAAGGTAATGAATTAAGCCCAGAGAAGTTTAATGACTTGTCCATGATCACACAGCAGATGACAACTTTCTAGTAAATGACAACTGCTGATAGGAAAGATTTGGAGAGAACCCACCTGTAACCCCCTCTAACACTGCAGCATTGATTAAGGCGATTTGTGCTTACGTGTCTCCTGGGATTTATTTTGAGCTCTCTCTGACCCTATTTTATGTAGCTTCCCTACATGATATCTCAACTATCCACCTTTCCCCCGAATTTCCTACTTGCAACCAGAATCAAAGAAAATTCTTCAGGTCCAGCTGGTGAGGGCAAGCATAGGTTGGGGAGGGCCGGGAAAGTAGTTTTGTGTAGTGGAGCCTTATGACTGGATAGATTCTGGGCAGTCCTTAGTGGGGGACCCTCATGCACCAGAATTCTAATGAGCTTCTTTTCACAAAATAAACCACTTCAGAAGTGCAAATCTCAATATACATCGACTAGTTTTTGACAAAATGGAATTGGGAGAATTGTTCTGCTTTTTTATAATTATGGCAAAATTTTCATCACAAATTTTTACCATCTTAAGCCATTTTAAAGTATATCATTCACTGGAACCAACTACATTCCTAGTGTTGCTCATCACCTCCAGAACTCTTTCATCCTGCTGAACTGAAACTCTATACTCATTAAACAGAGTTTTCCCCTTCCCTCCCCCATCCCACCCCCACAACTCCTGGAAACCACCATTCTACTTCCTGTCTATAAATTTGACTACTGTAGCTTCCCCCTAGAAGTAGAAGTAGTAGATTTATCCCCCTTGTAACTGGTTTGTTTCACTTAGCAACATGTCCTCATTGTTCTTGGAGTACATGTTAGGCCCTCCTTCCTTTTCCAGATTGAATAACGTCCCATTGGCCACAGTAAATGGTTCTGTGATAGGCTCACGACCTAATCCAGGATAATGAAGCTCAGCTCTGGGACTTTTGCTGGACCTGTTGGGAACAGAAATACTTTATTGTGAGGTCCCTTGGATGGTAGAATATAAGACTAGAATAGGAAGAAATTGAGGCCAACATGAATGGAAAAAAAAGCTAAAGGAGGGCGAGAGTAAGACCATCATTGGACAAATCTGAGTACCCAGATCCAACCAAGTCTGAACCACCTACCAGTGAATATACCACATTCTGTTTGTTTGTCATCCTTCTGTGGAGATTTGGGTGGCTTCCAACTTTTGGCTAATGTAATTAATGATGCTTTGACTATGTGTGCACAAATATTTGTCCAGGTTCCAACTTTCATTTCTTTTGTGTATTCCCACAAGTGGAATTGATTGATCATATGGTAATTTTATTTTTAATTTTTGAAGAACTGCCACACTATCTGTGTATAGACATATTGCCAGCCAAGGTGGCTGCATCACTTTACATAATGAAAAATATCAATTTCTCCTCTCCTCACCCACACTTGTTATTTTCTGGGGGGTTTTGTTCGTTTGTTTGTTTTGATGGTAGCCATCTTGTCCATTATGGATATGAGACGGTATCTCATTGAGGTTTTGATTTGCATTTCCCTGGTGATTGGTGATATTGAGCATCTTTTTGTGTGCTTTTTGGCCATTTGCATATCTTCTTTGGAGAACAGTCCTTTACCCATTTTTGAATCAGGTTGTTTGCCTTTATTGTTATGTTATAGAGTTTTTTTGTTTTGTTCTGTTCTGTTTTTGTTTTTGTTTTGATAGCAGGGATTGAACCCAGGGGTGCTTAACCACTGAGCCACATTTTTAATTTTTTTTTTTTTTTAATTTTGAGACAGGGTCTCACTAAGTTGCTGAGGCTGACCTTGAACCTGTGATCCTCCTTTTCTCATCCTCCTGAGTCTCTGGGATTCCCGATGTACACCACCTTGCCCGGCTGTTATAGGATTTATTTATATAGTCTAGATATTAACTCTTTATCAGATTTAAGACTTTGCACATATTTTCCCCAGTTTCACTCTTTTGATTGTGCCCTTTTGCATAGAAGTTTTCAATTTTGAAGTAGTCTAACTTACCTATTTTTACTTTTCTTGCCTGTTAGTCAGCTTTCCATTGCTGTTACAAAATACCTGAGAAAGTCAACCTAAAGGAGGAAAATTTATTTGGGCTCACAGTTTTATAGATTTTAGTCCATTGTTGCTTGGCTCCATTGATTCTGGGCCTGTGGTAAGGCAGAACAGCATGGTGGGTAGGGTGTAGTAGAAGAAAGCTGCCTACTTCATGATAGCTAGAAAGCAGGAGCAGTGAGAAGTAGAAGCAGGCTGTGAACAATTTAATGAAGAACAGGGGTATTTTTCCTATACCACTTTAGAAGCAGGGCCTGTGTGAGGCTTGAGGTTTGAGGGGTCTCCAGAAGCAAGGACAATGTGGTCCAGTAGTCAAGAGAAGATGCCTGCCGACGGCTGCAGGGTCCAGGCTTTGGGGTGGAGAGTACCCTTCCAGGGGATTTCACATGTATCTTCTCTGTGAACTTAAGGTCAGAGGAGTCTGAGAGAGCCCCGGGAAGTCAGGACAGGTCATGCACTTGCTTTGAAATGCTGGGAAATAGAAGTCTTTGCAAATTGCTCTCAGAGGCAGTAGACTATTTGTTTGAAACCCTCAAACTGTTAAGGATAAAATACATAGTCAGTCTCTCCCCTCCTTCAGCTACTGGGTGCAAACAACACAAAATTATCATCCTGTCCTTCCTTTGAAGCTTTTAAAACTAGATCCAGAGGAAAATCCCAGAACTTAGGCCAATGGTCTTGTAAATCATTCTGAGCAGTAACAGCGCTGTTGGGATCCATGTAAGGTTACATCTTTGAAGCACATCACTCATAAGGTCTGGACTCAGAAAATATGGAATTTTACCTCTGCCAAATATTAGTATGACCTGGGCAAGTCACTCAACTTCCTATTCAGCCAAGAATTATCCAGTGTAGGATCACTCATTTTTTAAACCACACTTCATACAAACCTGTAAAATCTCTACTTCATCACCTCTCCCTCTATGGCTTACAGCCCAATGAAGTGTTCAGGGCTCTTTGTCACCAGTTGTTCTGCTCCCAGCCTTTGACTACATAGAAACTGAGATCATCCATGCAATCTTTTCTAAAGTAAAGCGAAACCCTCCTCCCACTGTGCCAAGGCCAATGTCTCGGCTTGGCACCAGAATCACGAGGCACTCACAGCTTTGTAGGTTCAAACAGCAATTCTTTATTCCAGCTCTCACACCACCTCCACACAGGTCCAGGGGCAAACGCGTTCTGCCGTCTCCCGCACAATTCACCTACTCCACGAGGCTATCTCCAAATCCCATTTTAATCTCACGAGAACTCAACGGGAACAAGCAGCAGGAACACCCTAATCCCAGCAATAATCTTCAACTTCCAACTTCCCTAAAACCCATTATCTTAAACTGGCAACGCCTTAAACTCAAGGAGCCGGTTACTTCCTCAAACCTGATCAGCTCTAAACCCGGATCTGCCTTGGTCCTTGAGCAAGGTCACCTCATTAAAGCATGCATGCAATGTCCCATCAAATGTCCTCTAAGCAGCATGGGGTACGCTTGGCAAGGAAATTTCGATGCGTCATTCCTACTTGGTAATGGCCCTCAGCACCACTGGGGCCCCAATCAAACACATTTCAGGATGTGGGAGAAAAGAGACCTAACTAAAGGTGAGAGAGTCACCAGCCTGAGACTAGACAGTTTCAACCAATGCAAAACTTCATGATATCATGTCCAAAAAACACACAAGCATCCCGTTTCACTACTGAAATACAAAGACTGTCTTTTACTGCTGGGAGGAGCTTACAAAGATCAAGAGTGACACTGGTTAGTCCCCAGA